CTACACGTGTGTTGCTATCAGTTTGAAAAAACTGCAGAAAGCTAAATGTCCTATTATTCAAACTAAGAGCAAATTCATATTTAAAGTAATCTAGTATCAAACAATTATGGTACGGTTATGAACCGATCTAAAGGACGAAAGTGAATATAAGCTAAAAACTTGTGAAAAAAAACCTGAAGGAGAAGCATGAAGATCCCTTGCACGATCACTGCAACTACCCAACAAAGCTGGAGGAAGCCCTTCGTTATTCTCAATCACTTGTTCGTCTTCTTCAATCGCCTCAAACACACTCGCACGAAGCTCAGCCTGTAATAGCAACTAAAAACCATCAGCTCAAATTCAAAATGCAAGACCAAATGTTAAAAAGAATCCAATTTACAGATCACACTTTGCATCAAAATCAATGTATCCTTGTTCTCTAAGTTTGACCAAATATCCCAAGTCGTTTGGTAATACAAAACTAAAAATCAAAGAATTTTAAACCAAGGACGTCATACATGGCAAAACCAAGAGTTTTCGCCTCAAAGTCACTAACCTTTGAGTGTCATCATCATCTTCTTCCCCAGTCAAATGCATAAAAAACGTTTTGTTGTCGTTTTACCGAACATTTACACTGCCTACACAAATAACACAATCTACACAAACAAAGTGGATTAGAAAAATGGCTTCCATGTTCTGTCAGCAAAGAATGCCACAGATGATGGATCTCCTCCATGTTCTCCACATATCCCAAACTGTTTATATTTTTAACTCACATTCAATCCCAAACTCTCAATTCTATTTGTGATTCGTTTCAATTCGATTAGATCAAACTTACCTTGAGGTTAGGCCTAGCGGCTCTTCCTTTTTCTGTCGCCATCTTGACAAATTGTCCTACACCTTTTTGATCAAGAACCTGATCCAAACATAAACAGCAGAAAGCTAAATGTCCTATTATTCAAACTAAGAACAAAATTCATTATGACTCGGATCGATATCACCGGGATTTGTCATGATTCCTTCAACTTGATCTATATAATTAACAATATTATTAACAGCTAACAAAACCTGCCAGTCCAATTCATGCTCTTCTTGATCATCATCCCTTGATGAGATTCTGGATGGTGAAGACAA